GCGTCGAATGGCTGAAGAATGGGCTAAAGCTAAACAACGAGGTGATGGAGGATATTCTACACCCATGTCAGATGGAGGAGGGCGACACACACCTCGTAGCAGGTAAGATGTTAACATGATACTAAGTAACAAATTTAATAAATCATAAAACTGCACTATGTTTGTTAACTAAAAAATAACTATTACTTATATAGTTTTATTATAATTTGTTTTAATTATTTATTATTTTATTTACTGTATTTTATTGATACTGATTAATATAGTCTTACATAGGATATTGTTTAAGTATTTTTGAAACAATATTATATAATGTACTGCCATACCATTCATTAAATAATTTTAAGCCTAGCCAGTATATAATCAGTATATATAACCAGTATATATCTAACCTACCCTACCCTAGCCTAGCCATTATTTTATAATCCAAATACTTGGATACCATATAAACTGATCATTGGCCTACTAATATATCAAAATACTATACTAACATGCATAATATGCATATTATAGTACATATTATGTACTGTATACCTTTATAAATAATCAAAAAGTAACTATGAATAAATGTTTTTGTAAAAAAATAGTTGAAAATCAGTAACTGATAACCTAAAAGTTAATGATATTTAGTAAATTCTCTCTAATACTAAAGCTAACAACACAAAGTTGGTTCTACTGAATGCTAACGTGCTATATTGTATGTTTATAGTTCTATACAGAGATAAAACATGTGAATATGATGTCCTCTTAATTACTATTATAATGTAATAAATTTTAATATTTAAGGTACAATAATCATCGATACAATATGAATAGAGGAGAAAGAGAATCAAGTACACCACGCAGTGATGCTCCGTCACCAACCCCAAGTGCCTCATCATACGGATATCACTCACCAGCACCATCAAAGAACTATAAAAGTAGTTATACAGGATCTTCACATAATTCATCAAAGTCACCACGAGGTCCATCATCTAATTCTGGTACACCGTATGATCCCTTTACTATGGATCCAGGTCAAGACTCGCCTGGAGTATATGCATCATCGTCTCGTTCAGGGCGTAATGATGAAAATGATCCAGATTTAAGATATGCATCACCGAGTTCAAGGTGGACTCCTCGGTCTGGTCGGTCAACTCCCCATACCATTAATAGTCCTAGATCAATGATAGAATCATCTATGGGCGATAATACACCACTGTATGAAGACTAAATTAATTGAAATTTCTCGTTTATATTTTATTTTTATGTAGTTCGATTTCCATTTTTAGGTATTAATATATTTTTATTAAAGTTTAATAAAAATTTGGTGTTTTAAGTTTTTTTAAGTTGGAATTTATAAGTTTCAAATTACCTAATATTTAAAAATAAATATAAACTTTTATTAATTTTAATATGTTACTGCTGAACAATTTTGTGACAGAACCTAAGTTAAAATAAAATATATAAATTATTTTATTAAATTATATGAATACTGTATTACTGATTAAACATTTAAATTTATAATTGGCATGTTTTTTGCCTTGTGTTAACACAGTTTTTATTTTTATATACTAGGGTATCAAAATGAGATCATTAATAATATATTTTTTCTTTTTTTTGCATTCACTATTATTGTAATTTTATTATATTTAAACAACAGAATTTATACAAAAATCAGGAAATTTGGTTATTAAAATTTTACCTAACTACATTCTTTTATTAACAATATTGAAATCCAATTTAGTGTAGCTTTTTTAAGATACTAATTTTTTGTAGCTCTTGAACCGTTCTATTTAATTTACATGGTGATTGAAATGTGTCTGATTATATACAATTTCAAATGCAACATTCATAAAATCCAATAATTTAACAATGATACCTATAGGAAATAGAAATAATTAAAAAACAATGTACTATTTAACTAAAAGACCTGTTTTTAATAGTTTATAGTTGTTTGAAATGTTAATGTAGTTAACAGTATATTACCTTATTGTTATAATGTAATATACTACCATTAGACAGTTTGTCAACGTGATTGTAAAAATTTTCTTAATTTGTATATTAATAAAATGTAATTGATGTTTACTTTAAGTTAAAAATTTAGTAACTTAAAATTATAATATAACCTGTTTAGCAAAAATAAATTCAAATATAAATAGTTTTTACTAAGTATATATTTTCTTTTAAACAGATATATAATAAAAACACATATATATTGTTAACAAGATTTTATTTTTTTATTTTTATTGTTTCACCGATAATCATTTATTATGGTTTTTTAAACATTACGATAAATCACCAAATATCAATCTAAACACAAGAACTTGCTCACGCAGAAAGTGTCATCAATGGGTGGCTTCTTTCAACAAAAACCTCATGTCTCATTTACCTTTACCTCATTTTCTTGTGTCTAATATTGATACAGATTGTTAATTACTTATAAAAATAAAAAGAACCCACTCACAAACTATCGATGAGAGGTCATGGTTGAACAGGAAAATGAAATTATTAAAAGAATAAAAAGGTGTTCTTTTAATCATTTGCAGTTCCATCTCAATTTCTACTACTAGAGACTACAAAGACGTTCTTTTTTCTCGATCTTTTAGAAAACATTCAGTATACATGAATCAAAAAATAAAATTTTCCTGTAAAATTACACTGCATTAAAATTACATTAATATAAAATATAAATGTAAAAAAAACGTTTAACCTTTTGAAGATCGTATTCCGTATACTAAATTGATACCGATGTATTTAAATATTAAGTAATAGAGAATTTATTTTTATTTTAAGATTATGTGTACATATATGTAGTGTGTCATAGGCGCCCGGAGTGGGGCAAGACTGGGCATTTGCCTCCTCCCCTCAGTCACCTCTGAACTTAAAATATAAATTTGTAAATTTTATTATTATTTAAATAAATAATGCATTGAAATTTTAACTTAATATGGATTATTTTTTAATGAACTTTTGTCATTGTTTTGTAATTTGATTACCTATCTGTTTACAATCCACTTTTTGGCGTTTGATATTTTGTATTATGCCCATTCCTGTTGAATTTCCCTTGTACAAGAAAAAACGTTAGACTAAGAAATTAATAAATAATTATAAAACCAGTTTAAACAAAGTATCGATGAGGTATAATAAGTAAAATGTGAAACCCCTGATGGAACATTATTTCTAAAATAAGTACCTTTAATAAAACTTATTGTATTAAAAATTACCGATTACTTAAAAATGTATTTCTTGAATGGATAATTGTATTATGTTTAGATTTTACAATTTTCCATTTCTATTTTCAAGTTTTTTATGATTATTGAACAATAAGTATATTAATTATTATGTAGATAATTACATCTACGTATAGATGTACACTAAAATCGCATTGTATTACCGATTTTCATTGTATACCTTTGATAATAATATGTGACGGTAATATTTAAAAAAGTAAATGAATACCTATAGGCTATAATATATTTTCTATACATCGAATATCATAATTATACTTAACATGGGTTACACGTATTTGTGCAGCTATATAAACAGCGATCATCGCGTTTAAAATATGTATGTGTGTGCACGATGATAGATTGTTTTATTTATTTTCCCATTAATGATATTTAAATTAGACCTTAATTTGATCACGTGAACGTGCAGTAAAAAACATACCTGTGCCTTTCGCGCGTGATTTATTAGTTACCTAATACCCATTTAGCATACACAGGCGATGATTTCAATAAAAGTGCCTACCGTTGTTCGTGAACACATCGTGTATATAGAAATATCTGTATTAATATTTAATATATAATATCTCTAGATCTTTAATGACAAGTGATTCTATTTTTATTTTATTATTAATAATCTATGTATCCGTGCCCCGTGGTACACATGGCCACTGCCCACTGGATGTAACATTACACTGCTAGGTATTTATAAATTAAAATATAAATATTATTAAGTTACATTTTTATAATATAGCATTAGTAAATAAGAAAATGTAAAAAAATACAAATATTTAAATACATTAATACTAAATAACAACGGTAATGAGTAATGACTAATGAATTTTGAGTTGAGATATGATTCATGGGTATCATTGTATTTGATTAATAAGATGAATTTCCAATAGAAATTGAACAGTTTAAAGATGTTATTGGGTCTGGGTCGAAACGGTCAAGTTTCGGATAGATTTGGTTGTTAAAAATCCAAAAACCAATGAAAAATCAACATTTAAGTATTAATGCATTGAGTGTTGAAATCAGAATACAGAAAAAGTAATCCATCATTTTATGGAAGTTTTTTTGAATAAAAAACTAGTAGCAAGGTGTAAAAGTCCAGTAAGATCTTAAAGAGTCTCATGACAATCAAGTCGTTAAATTTCTAGAAAACGATATTGTTGGACTTACAAGAACATTCTAGAATATTCGAGGGCTATCGCACGCGAATGTTCTAGAACCGGTACCACAAATTTTTAAATAGCTGTAAAAGCCTCGGCACCGACGAGTAGGAAAGTGTCAAATGACGACTAACGATGACATGACCAACAGCCTCGTACTTTCGTTTTTCGTATAAATAAATATTGAATGTTTTTGTGATAAATGGTTTTTTCTTTCTGTTTTTACGAAAGTGTTTCCATCACCCGTTGTTACTGTCAATATAACATTTAATAACTATAACAACTTTAGTCTCTACTAAAACGTATCATCCAAATGTTTTAAATGTTTAATATTATTTGATTGAGTGTATAATGTATATCGTCTAAACTCTATAAAAATATTATAATTATTTATATATAAATTATAAATAAATATCGTTCATTTAACTTGATGAATTGATTCGGTTAAAAATAAGAAATATTTGAATTTCATACAGTGTTACCAGTTGCTAAGCCTGACGTATTTATTTGTATATTTATTGTTTAAACACATCAGTCATATCAAAATCGTATGATTCACCATATTATCACAGAATATCAACAGAAGACATTTATGAGGCACATTTCGTGTTTTTAAAAGTTCATTAAATACAACAAAATATCATTTATAGTTTGTTGTTGTTTACAAGTCTTTTAAACATATTTTTATTTCTATAATATTCGACCAAACCATAAGATAACAATAATGACTTCTGCGCTTTATTTAGAACACTATTTGGACAGTAAGTTCTTTTTCGATTTTTCATCTCAACAAAGTACTAACAGAATTATATTTTAGGTTTAGAGAATCTTCCTGTTGAATTACAACGGAACTTCACACTGATGCGAGATCTCGACTCGAGAGCTCAAGAACTAATGCGTAATATTGACAAACTGGCAGACGATTATATGTCAAATGTTAAGGGATACACTACGGATAAAAAAGGTGAAACTATGACAAGCATACAACGTCAGTTTGACAAAGCAAAGGAATACGGCGATGACAAAGTTCAATTGGCTATACAAACTTATGAATTAGTATGTTAATTTTGAGTTATTCCTATTTCCCTAAAAAATTTCTACTCCATTGTACCTTATAGGTGGATAAACATATTAGGAAATTAGATTCAGATTTAGCGCGTTTTGAAGCTGAAATTCAGGATAAAGCCATCAGTGCTACTAGAAATATAGAGGAAAATTCACAAAAACGTAGGTGTTTTGTAATATATTGTATTATAATGGTAATGTGTTTGGCTATTTCTTTATGAGTATTTTTTTCAGGAGGACGTAAAAAGACTAAAGACAAAGAAATTAAAAAGAAAAGTGCATCGAGTGAAGAAGAAACGGCTCCCAATAAAACATCTAAAAAGAAACAACTAAAAAAAAGGTTTGTTTTCAACATAATTTTAACCTTATTCGAGTTGATTTCTTTGTATTATAATTGCCAACACTTTTCAGGAGTTGCAAAAACAACAAGTGCAGCACCTAGTAAAACACCTTTAATTAATGTTGCCACTAATCCAACAAACCCTGCCAATAGTGTAACCAGTGTTACAGTAGAAACTAGTTCCCTCACTGGTGCGTTAGTTGGTGCCGGAGTTGCACATTCAGCTGAAGTATTAGACATGCCTGTTGATCCAAATGAACCAACATATTGTTTATGCAATCAAGTTTCTTATGGTGAAATGATTGGCTGTGATAACCCAGATGTAAGAATTTTTATTTATTAATTTATTACTATTATTTTATTTAAACATTTTATCAAATACTTTAATCATTAAATGATTAATAATATTCTTTATTTTTAATTGTTTCATTGTTTTTTTATCATTTTTTTAATTGTGTATTTTTATTATTTTAGTGTCCTATTGAATGGTTCCACTTTGCATGTGTAAAATTAACTACCAAACCCAAAGGAAAATGGTTCTGTCCTAAATGCATTACAGATCGGAAGAAAAAATAACATTTTAAGAATGATTTAAATTTTTTTATTTTATACATACATATAATTACAGTGTTTAAATGATGTTAATATTCTTACATTGTAAGAAATAATTATTGAAATTATTGTAATTTGTAAAATTGTCTTAAATTGCACACGTAATGAAAATAAAATTTAATTTCTATATTAAAGTAGTATTGTTGATCTATATGTAAGTTTTTTCAAATTAATTAAGTTAATGATTTTTCCAGTCTTTTTATGTTAAAAATAACTTATGGAAATAAAGAAGAATTTCTAATACAACATTGAGATGGCTTCACTGACCAGTTATACTCATAGGAATCCATGTTTTTGAACTCTTTATCACACAATTTTCCAGTCTGAATAATGTTCGACCAGTGTAGTCTCATCATTTTAGGACTACGTTTATGTGTTATTAAATAATCATTATTACATCCGTGACTTATCCATTCTGTGTCAAATCGCCGGTCATGTTTTTTAGTAATATTTAACAGACTTAACCAAGCCCCAACAGAAACATCTTCAGAAACAAATAAACTGAAAAATAAAAATAGACAACAAGAATTAGTGTTATTGACCAATAATTTTAATAAGACAGTTATAATTGGTTGGATATTATGTAATGATTTTATTTAACTTAATATCAATGTAATCTTATAACTTAAAATTTATAATTAATTATACTATGATCAACATACCTTAGGTAATCTCGATTCTTCACTATAAAGATGATAAGATCTTTAGTTAGAACATAGCCACCTCCCAGGGCGTATGGCAAATATTTATCACATGCTACCCATTCAGTTTCTTTTAATAAACCTCTTTTTTTAACGTTTGCATCACCACTAAAATATCCCCAATAAAATCTATTTTTAGGCATGTGTTCTAACTCATTGACAATTAATGGCAAATTTACAAAAGAGTCATCATCACATTTTAACAAATAATCAAAGTTTAAATTATATACACTGGAAAATGATGCAATTATTTTATGAGTGAGCATTCTATACTCATCTTTTTCATCTACCTCCAATATGTCTTCATGTACCAGCTTTTCAGCATTTATAGATTCGTCTTTTGATACAACAAAAAATATTTTAACATCTTCTTTTTTTTCAGCCCATGTTTCACGTATAGCATCTCTATGATTTCGATTTTTTACAGCTGATACGATAAGTACAAGCAATTTAAATCTATATAGATACGGTGAAGTATTTGGTTTTGATGTCATTGGATGCAAAACAAACATTGTTAATGTGCATCCTAGAATAAATGAAAAGCTTGCCAGGAAATAATACGTGAGATGTTTTTTATGCAATAACATTTGTTACTAAATAATGCCAAATAATAACCAACTAAAATCAAAAAAATAATAAACAAAACACTTAAAAATTAAAACAAATAAAAATGTGGTGTTTGATATTAAATTTATAGGTCAAAAAATCATAAGTATTAAGTATATAAGAGACAAAAGTGATTAATAACTATGAGCAATGAGAATTGAACACTATGAAAATGAAACAAATATTGAAAAATGAAAAATGAAAAATCTACTAACACGCCGTGTTAAACACTGATAAACGGTATCAGTGTATCACTCAAATATTTCAATCTAATATCTATAAAAAAATAGTATCTACCATTGATTATAGAATATAATATAAAATATTCTATAATCAATGGTATCTACGAATACTTGCTTGTTATCTTTATCTATACTCGAATCATGGCTAAAATATACTGAGATTGAGATATGTTCATTGCCGTCTGCAGGGGACGAGTGTCTCATTGCAGCAAAATTTTTGGCTGCGTTATCACAGATTATCTGTTATCATAGATTGAATGATACCGCCAAATCATTAATTATTAGTGTAATATTATTATTTATTGTTTATTAGTAATTAAATAAATCACATTATGAATTATACCACTGTCAAATTTTAAAATCATAATTTATATGTACAAGTAATAAGTATTAACATGTATTAGTATTGTTTAAATTGTATCATATGAATGATCAAATGCACAGTGAACATGGGCACTCTCACTATTAACATCTTCAAATCCAGATAGTATTGCATTAGTTTCATTTATCGAAGGTTTTGATATTTGAGTTTTATGACTGCTTTTCTTTTTAGTTGAGTAGAGGCGAATCTGACGATCAATTTTTTTTGTAATATTGATATCATCAACTGGCGTAAGTTTTATTTTTTCTCCTTCATTCATGAGTGTAATAACTTCACTTAATTTTTTTTCTATCTGTATTCTATTTATATCACTTAATGAATTTGTTCCACTTAGACCCAAAATAATTTCTGCTTGATTTTTTATTTTTAAATTTTGATCATTTTTGTGGTGATTTGTGTAAGTTGTATTCATATCAATTAGGATTTTCTGTTCTTCTAAGTTTATTTCATTATGAAAAATATTGTTGCAGTCCAAATTTTTATAGAAATTACGAGCACAAGCATGTATATGCTTACAAATATTTGCTTTGATGACATTGTCAATACAAGAACAGTGGTAAGTATGAATGCAAATTTTGCATTTTTTACATTTTAAACATGCTGGATGTGTACATGTTTCACCAACTTTAATTATATAATACTGTTGGGAAGGATTTGATAATGAGTGTATTATGTACCCTTTCTCGTTTTCCAAAATTTTAATTTGTTCCAGTTTGATTGTTTCACTGATGTTATGACTTAGGCAGACTTTTTGAACTTTTTCAGTTGGAACATATTTTGATAATTTGATCAATCGCTTGTAAAGACTATCTCGAGAAAATTTCATGAGGGCATGAATAGTTTTATCTAAACGCTTTACTCTTTTCCCTTCCAAATATATATGCTTCAATATTTTGTGAAAAGATTCCAAATACATATTTGTATTTATCCCAAGCCTCAACCTAAAACAATAAGCCCAAACTTCTGGCCGCTTTGAATAATATTTTTCAAAGTACATTCCAAACCTATTAGTATCATCATCATCCTTCAAATCTCTTATGACATTTTGGAGGTAACTAGAAAATTGTTCTACAGATGTGGTTTGTAAAAGAATTCTTAATGTCTTGTAAACTAGTGCTTTTTTTTCAGGTCCACCACTGATTTTACATAGATTTTGTTGCCAGTTTCTGTCAACATGCCATGTACACAATAGTCTGTGTTCAACAGATCCCATAACAGAAACCCATGCATTATAAAACGCAGGAGCATCATCTGTTATAAATACATTGCAATTGATCACGCCTACTTTATGCTTAATTGTATTGAAATATAATTGGAAAATTACCTCATCAGATCGATTTGACAAACAGAACGCAACTGGACAACCTGATCCAAATTCATCAACAGTTACAATACTATATAACTGAATATCATATGCATTTGTGCCATGGGTACCATCTATACAAATTTTATTGTGGCCAAATTTTTTTAATTGTTCTTCTTGAAAATTTGTCATTAAAATGATTGTAAAATCTTTCTTATCCAAGACTCCTTGTTCTCCGTTCCAATCATTCTCATCTTGACCTTTGTAGTATAAAACAGGGCATTGTTTTTCTAATGTCTTCATCTTTTCAACCCATAACTTTATACTAATTGCATCGTTTTTGTGTTTTTTTGTAGCATAATCGATATTGAAGTCTCGTGAAATATTATGCAGATCTTTACGGTCTAAAAGGAGAGATCGTTTAAAAATATCATCAGTCACTTCTTGATCACGAATTGAATCTATAATATGTGCAAAAGTAACTCCTTCTTTCAATTTTGCTGAAAAATAACAATATTAAGTTATTTAAAAAGTAAATATAATTAAATTAAATTCATAATAATTTGTAAAAGTATGTAGTAATACCAGCAATTTTTGTCCTGGTTTCTTCGTCAATTCTAATTCTTCCAATTTCATTGTCATGGCCATAATGATTTTCCCAAAACTTAACGTGAACTGTCCCTTCATGTTCTAAATATGTAACTTTCATCATTGCTGGACAAGTTCCCTTTATTTTATTACTTCCCATGAATTTAGTTTCTCTTGCTTTCTCCTTTTTTTCATGGTTTTCATTCTTATTACTGTGGTTATATGATCGATGACAATAATAATATTGTCTTTTACGTCCATCACGCAATTTAGACATTGCTCTATCCATAACAAACATTGAAAAACTTTTTTGTTCTTCTTCTCTTTTCCATGTCTCATATTCTGTGATTAAAATATTTAATGATTTTTATTTGTAAATAATAAAAAACAAATAATAAATAAACAAATAGTATTCACAATTATTACCTAGGATGCTTGGAAATTCCACATCTTTCACTTTTTCATTAAATGCATGTATTTGAGATAAATGAATATTTAATTTAGCATAAGAGAACATGGGTTCTTTACATTCACTATTGGGACAAATTATTCGAGTTTCTTTCTTCTTCCCTTCATTATCATTGGTTTGATGAAACTTTTTGATGTGTGTATCCAAAGTATTTTTAGATTTAAAATATTTGTTGCAAATTTCACACAAAAAATCAGTGAACACTGGTTCAATGTTATGAATATTCCGTACATGTGTGTTCAAATTTTTTTTTTGTGTAAAGTTTTTGTCACATATTGAACATTTTATTTCAGATTCCATTATAGTGAAAAATAATAAAAAATTAAATACAACAGAATCACAATTATAATTTGAAAGCAAAAAAAAAAAACCAAAGAATTATTAAGAAAATATTACTTATCTCAAAAAATAAGACAGTCTTAGTGGGGATCTTGACAATCTTTCTACAAATAGATGTAAAAATGCTTTGGGAATTAAATTGAGGTCATGCTATTAGGACTTTATTATAACATAATGCCAGGTCCACACAATGGGATCATGATAAGCTTTCTACAAATAGATGTAAAAATGATTTGGGAATTGAAGGTGACTAAAGGTGAATTCGATTACTTGTAGAGTTATAACATAATCACACAGTCTGGTTTTTGTTTTATTTTTATTTCTAAAAACACTTAAGATATATAATTAGGGAACGGATTTTATTGTAAGTACATATTTTTATTTGGAATGTGATATTTTAAATCTGATAAAAAATGTGTACGATTTAGATTGAAATAAACCCAAATTTATTTTACATATTTTTACATATTTGGTAAATAAGTACATTCATTTTGACAATGTTTAACTGTTAAATTATACTTTAACATCATCTGCTTTATCTAAAACAACATATGTAATTTTTGAAAGATAATATTCATAATTTAATATACTTTCAATATAATAATACATTTTTTCAATATTTATATATAAGTAAAAAAAATTGATAGATATATTGATTTTTTATTACAATAAAATCTGTTCTCTATTTATAATATAATTCGAATATTTAAAATTTGGCGGTATCATTCAATCTATGATAACAGATAATCTGTGATAACGCAGCCAAAAATTTTGCTGCAATGAGACACTCGTTGCAGGGGGGGCCATGGCCCCCTCCCCCCCGCTAATTGAGATATTATTACCTAATTTTTATTGCATTTATTTGCATTTTATATAGTAGTCTTGGAGAGCGATAAAAAAGACTGATAAGTGATAAGGTGACAAAATTGTTCGTCAGATTTCAATATCACAGCGTTTTTAAATTTTTATTTGATGATAATAATCAATGAGTCATAATTATTTATTATTTATTTTTTTTTTTCATTTTTTTTATACAGGCTTATTCAGTAGCGTATTTTGAATGTTTTTTTTGGGGGGGGGGGGGGTGTCCAGATAATTTAAGTATAAAATTTTTGTTAATTGGTTGCAATATATCTCTGTTTTAAATCTACTACCACTAAGCTCATAATATACTCATAAAATATTGTAATGAAATATTTTTTATTTATTTAATCAAAAGTAGAAATTTTTATGTAATTTAAATCATACAGGTATAAAATACCTACTGTATACATAATTTTAATTAAAAAATAAAAGCAAATAATAATATGTTTCAAAATAAATATTTATATAAATATTTAAGATCCATTGTATTTATATATTTAAAAAAAAAAAAAACATCATTGTAATTAATATCTAAATATACACAAATTTCCGCTGGAAAAACAAGTAACACAGACACATGAAGGCACGGAGCCGCAAGATAAAAATGTAAATTGTATGTTTATTGTAATAGGATAATAATAATATAAAATTATTATACATTCTTTTTTTTTCTTTTTTTTTTATTAGAACTTCTAGCAACAAATATTATAGTTCGACAATTATTAATTATACATTATTATTACACATTTTTTACCATAATCGGTCACAATAATTTACTAATTATTACTATATATTTTTTTTGTTAATATATTCGATATCAGTGGTGCTATGAGAATAATAGTTTTATAAATAATTAAAAATATAATAGGATAATAAGTACATTATTTGAAATTAAATTTATTTTCCTTCCGAATTAGTTTATGACTTGATATAATATTAAATTAGTTCATAACGAATCATATACTATTGTTCATCAAATTACTTACAAAATTTATCAAAACTCTGGAAAAAAAACTTTATTGTTCTTGCGTTTTCTTAGACGTATCACAAGCCTTTGATCGTGTCTGGCACGAAGGCTTGCAATTTAAACTAAAAAAATTTCTCCCCTCTGCCCTATTCCTATTTATTAAATCATATTTAACTGATAGACACTTTCAAGTTCAATTTAATTCTTCAACATCAGGCATTGCACCAATTAAAGCGGGTGTACCACAAGGCGGCATACTCTCCCCCTTCCTATTTAACATTTATGTAGCTGATCAACCTTTCATGCAACAAACCATCGTGGCCGATTACGCCGACGACAAAGTTATTTTATCCATAAACAAAGATCCCTTAGCTGCCTCATTAAATTTGCAATTGCATCTAAATCTCTTGTCTGAGTGGTATGCAAAATGGCGAGTTAAAATTAACCAAAATAAATCTCAGCACACAACATTCACACTCAAACAACTAACAAGGAACATACCCAAATATTACCCTTAACAACGTACCAATTCCCACTACTGACACAGCCAAATACCTAGGATTAATCCTTGATAAAAGATTGACATGGAAGAAACACCTTCAAACCAAAAGAATAACCTTAAATAATCGTTTGCGTATGCTTAGACCTCTTTTAACTAAAAATAAGTACTCCACTCTAAATACCAAACTTACAATCTACAAAGCGCTCCCTAAACTAGTCTGGACGTATGGACTACAACTATGGGGTTCAGCAAAAATATCTAACACTAATAGAATTCAAACGTTCCAAAATATATCACTTCGACGATTATCCAATGCTCCACCCTATATTTCTAACTATACTCTGCATAACGATCTCCATTTGAGAACAATAGTTGAGGAAGCACGCATTTTCTACACTCGTTTCCACAAACGACTCCATTCACACCCTAACCCTCTCATAAACGATCTTTCTATCCTCACATTACCTGGAAATCCAAACCGCAGACTAAAAAGGAAGTGGTGCCGCGACCTATTACAAAACTTTAATGTCTAACGTCTGTCAAAAAAAAAAAAAATATATATATATATATAAATTATGTAATTATAGTAAAAATTAATTAAAATAATTAATCAATTAGTCAAGAGTCACTAATGGGTGGCTGCTTAAATCACGCTTGTCACGTATCATGTACTATTATCATATAAGCTTATTGTGCAAACTGTACAGATTGTTTATTTCAAATAAAAAGAAAAAAAAAAATACGTTTTGAATTTTTTTTTTTTTTTTTTGGTTTGGGGGTGTCCACTGTGTCCAGACACCGTAGACATCCCCCAAAAAAATACGCCACAGGGCTTATTTATAACTACAACATAATATTAAACATTTATATATATATGTATATACTTGTAATATTAAAATAAATAAATTAAATTTTTTTTTACGATGTGATATAAAAAACAGAATTTATGGAAAGTGTATTAATTTTCGCCGCCCCCCCCCCCATGAGAAAAATTTCTGCAGGCGGCCTTGGATATGTCAACAATAATACATTAATACTATTTTATAAAATCCGTTTTAAAAAGCGCATTCATGAAATAATAAACAAATCCTAATTTATTTTATGGTAAATTGTCTGTGATTAAAGAGAAGAGTGATTAATTGACTAGCAACATGGGTTGGCAACTCTGAGTACAGCCCTATTACATAGTTTGTTACACGGACTAAGATATCTTAGTCCGTGGTTTGTTATTTAGAACAACTGACGATAACTTATCACCTATAGTCTATACCGTAATTTTATTCTATCAAACCGTGGTCTGCGGTATTACCTATTACCGTAGGTATGTAACTAAAAGCCCCGCCTGACTCATGTCAACATTGTCAATATTATAATATTTGTACTTTGTAGCGGTGTCATTTTCATATTATAATCAATTTGATTAATTAATAATTTGTGGCATTGTGCCTTTGTGCGAGTACATAGGTATCAGGATTCAGGTTTATCAATTATGTTTAATGTTTGAATGTGAAACTTATTTATTTAATTTAATAATACTAATTTATCTGTTTTAAATCATTCGTTCTCAATTAATTTTCACAAGTTTATGTGATTGAAGTATGGCCATGTGGACGACATTCACGAATTCAGGTTGAACAAGTATTATATTTTATACATTTTTTGATGCAATTAATAATTATAACTATACTAGAGATAAATCACTGATCAGTGATCACACTTACCAAAAATCCATTTTCTATCTGTGTTGTTGAACTATCAATTAAGTCTTGAAAATACATACCTTCAAAATTCAAAATACTGGTATTAGAATCGAAACCTTTTAAAAATAACAAAATCTTTTTTGATTTTCTTATTAACCAATATTGATATCTGTTGTTGGAGCATTTTTCAGTTCCAACTTTATTTACCTATATTACCTACATAGGTAATAGTAATTGGTTCATTAAATTTAATTACAAATGTACATAGATTTATAATTTTTTGTAGGTAGTTACGTAAATACATACATAATACTCTAGTCGATTAGATACTCATAACAATCATAAGCCCTAACCCATTGCCATAATAATTTCCCTATAATTTTGAATAACATCTGGTGACATTGATGACTAATGAAATGACTACTAAAACCATCATAAATATGTTCCCTTATTAATTGTTATCAGATTTTAACAAAAACTAATGCTTATAAATATATTTATTTATCTAAACATTTCTTATGAAAATAAATAGCATATTAATCATATTATACTGAAACATCACTAATTCATTGATATTACAGTAATACATATGATTGTTGACACAACATATGTTTTATATATGTTGAAAAGGTCACTTGACCCTATAATAAGTTTAAACTTTTAATACATTTCATACTTCTTATTTTAAACACTAAAAAGTCAAAACGTAAAGACTGAAATGGTAACTTATTAGTATATAATATAATTAATAAAAAATACATAACTATTGTTATTTGTTTTTGAATGTTTTTAAAACAAAAATTGTAAATTTATTTAAGTTTCTTTAGTACATTAAGATAACAGTTATATTTTGATCTCAT